CGTGTCCCATCGGAATGGCATCTGCCAGACCTCAGCATGTAGTTTCATGTACATTTCAGACACATAAAAATTATGTTAGACTTCAGATACCATAAAAAGTAGTCAAAATAAGTACTTGAAAGTGATCCACAGCAAAACTTTTAATGCAAATGTTTTCAGATTTTGAGATGAAATAGACCTATTTATTTTCCAGGTTGAATCAGTGGAACAAAAAACAGGAATTATAGCAGAAATATGCTTACCAGGATCTTGATTTTGCTTTTGGGGGTGATTGTTTTTCTAGTTACAAATCTCCACATTGCTGAGGATGAGGGGATCTCAAACTGATTTTGAGCAGCAAGAACGGTTGTTTGCCATGTTGGAACAGAAGAATGGTGAAATAAAACACCTTTTAGGTGAAATTAAAAATCTGGAGAAATTTAAGGTATGTGTAACATCTTTTCAAAAATGCAGCCAAATTTTGAATTGAATTTCTCAATTTTACTATTTCTCTAGTTTATTATACAATTAGCTTCCAGTTTCAGTACAGGTTGATCCAGTGTTTAAATTTTTTTGAGATCATGGCAGTCTTACCTCAGTCTTGTATGTAGGATATGAAGTCAGTCCTGGCATCATTTGTTAAATCTGGCCCCCGTGAGATGCAGGTTTATTACATAACAAGTTTCTTTATGTGTAGGAACCTTTCAACATTTTCTGTGTATTGGATGAACTCTGTAGAGCATTACTGCAGTATTTAAGTTACAGAGGTTTTGTAGTATATGTTTTTGTTTTTTTAGTTCCTCTAGTTTTTTTTATTCATAGTGTTCTGGTTGCTTTTACATGTTTGCTTTTCTCTTGTCTGATGCACACACAATGCGTGCAGGCACGCACACACACCAGAAAGAACTATTTGGTGTTGCTTTGTAGGATTATATTATAAATTTTCAAAACTTTTAATTACCTTAGGGAACATTTGTATCTTTTCATTAAACTTCTAGTGAAAGATTCAGATTTATATAGGTAACAGATTTTGTAAATGTTAATGATCCCTTAAGCATTCTGTAGTGTAGCCATTAGTCTGTCATTAAATATTAAGTTTTGCTTTCCTCTCTTAGAAAACTGTTGAAAAAATGACAATTTTGTTAAATGTATAGTGTGTCATTGGCAGTGGTGTGCCTACATTAGCTGAGCACATAATTTGAAATCGGGAGAGTTGGGTTTTTGCATTCTCTAAAATAGTTTCCAAATTTTTAAGCAAATTTACCCCTTCCCCTAGAGAAACAAAAAGTTTTCTTTACTACTGGGGATGAGGGAATACAAAAAAATAACAACAAAGATTTATTTATATTTTTCCATTTTATAGCTTTTCTTTGAAGTCCAGAATTGAACCAGCAGTCATTGCTTCTTCCATTCTAAAAGCTAGGAAAGGGAACTGTGGGACTGTTGTTGGAAGCCTTAGTTTCAGAATTAAACATGTTATTTTTATGCCCATGTCACATTGAGCCACTTTTCTTATTTGAAAAGAGAACTGCTTATTCTCCCTAGTTTGTGAATTAAGAGGGTGGTTCTTAGCTTGATGGCTGTATGCTAATGAGTTCCTGCTTAGTGGCTGCTGCTGTTACAGCAAATCTAATCTGTTGTCTGCTCTTTGTAATAAGAGTTTTTTGCTTTCTTTAGTACTTATATGAAAGTACGGAATCTAAGCCTTCCACATCAGCCAGCCTTTGTACTCTAGAAGACAACACCTATTATGCAGATTTACTTCAACTAAAACTAGATAAGTTAAAGTAAGTGTTTGGGATTGTGAATACAGAGATGAAGGGTTTTTGTTGCTTATAATAGTATTACTAACTGATTTTTTTGTTTGTTTTTAATTGTCAAAAAAACTCCAGAAGACAGTCAATAAAAATATCTTTGTGTAGCATGTGAGTTTTTATAAAATACACATTTCTTTTGTGTTTAGCTTTTTGATTGATAAGTGAAAAGAACTCTTAAGTTTCTCCATCAGATTTCAAGAATAAATTTCATGTAATTCAAAACTTAAAGGAATATATGCATATGTGCATTTGGGAAAAATATTTTCTCCCTCTGTTTTCTTTAAAGAATCTGAAATTCTTGTGGGGTTTGTTAAGACTCACTTTAGTTGTTTATTGCTTCTTTTCGTTATTATTAAAAACTCAAGAGAAATGCCTTTTTAATAAACAAGATCCATTCCACCATGCTTATATACCAATATACCATGTATTATTTAACTATCCTTTAGTTGTTCTTTTCTACAACTTTAGCAAAGAAAACGAAGACACAAAAGGCGAACTATCCATACAGAGAATGAAGGCATTATTTGAGAGCCAGCGGGCCCTGGATATTGAACGTAAACTGTTTGCAAATGAAAGACACCTCCAGCTTTCAGAAAGTGAAAATATCAAACTGAGAGCTAAGCTAGATGAATTAAAGCTGGAGTATGAACCTGAAGGTGTGTGTTTTGTAGGCTTTGTCTCTCAAATCGTGAGTAGCTCTGAGAAACGAAGACATGTTTAGTAGCTTTTTTACCAATGTCATTATAAACTAATGTGTAATCATATATCTGTAGTGAAGTTTAGCTGTCAAATGTGTAAGAAAATTAAGAGAACTGGTTACATGAACATAATAATGTTTTCTTGTAGGATATCTAAGTTCATCATCCTGAACAGCAAGAACTTGAGTTTCTCCTCTTGAAGATTGTAGTATCTCATGGTGTCCCAAAGAGTTTTGAAGTTATTTTGAGAAAGGGTCTCACTGGGCAGCCCAGGCTGATCACATACTCCAGACCTTCTTCACTTTGCCTCCTGAGTGGAATCATAAGATGCATGTGACTATGCAGAGCTCAAATAGTTTCATTTTGTTGAAGCAGCTAATACTGGGAGCTAGACCAGCTGAGTTTGTTTATAGAAGAACTAAGCAAGGCTTAGGTTCAAGCACCTCCCACCCCCCAATCTCTCTAATGAACCTCTGAAGGAGCATTCCAGGACTGATATAAGTACTGTGCATGTTAGGATTCAGGCTCATTAGTTGTTGTCTGTTACATTCCATTAACCACAAATTAGTCATGTGTCTTTGAAATCCACCACCAGAAGATGTAGGCTTGGTCTCAAGGGCTATCTATGTTTCCAATCCATATCAAAAGCTCTGTTTTTCTTCTGACACTAGTAATTGGACACATCTATAGGGTTCAAAGTGATGCTTCCACTCATGTATGTATTGTATGATGACCAAATCAAGATAATTGATATCCATTACTTTAGTAATATCTCAGAACTACTCATGTTTTTGTATCTTAAACTTTTACTCTTTCTTTATCCAGAGAAATCTCAAAATTCTTTTCCTCGATCAGAAATATACAGTATACTATCGTTAACTATAGTCATCGTGCTGTTAGAGCTTCCAGGTGAACGAGATCACATAGTGTTTATCTTTTAAACATGTGTTTGTTATTACTGTGAGTGTGTACTTGTGTGTGATGTGTGCTTACACACCACAGTGTGTATGGTGATCAGTCAGCAACATTGTAAAGTTGGTTCTGTCTTTCTACCTCTGTATAGTTCCTGGAGCTTGAACTCAGGTTGTCACTCTCACAGGGCATGAGCCATTCCTTAGCCCCTGTTTTGCTCTTTTTAAAAAATCAGATTGTTTTTGAAGTATTTTGTTTCTGGGATTTAATTTTTTTTTTTTTTTTCTTGAGACAGGGTTTCTCTGTGGCTTTGGAGCCTGTCCTGGAACTAACTCTTGTAGACTAGGCTGGTCTCAAACTCACAGGGATCCACCTGCCTCTGCTGCCTCCCAAGTGCTGGAATTAAAAGCATGTGCCACCAATGCCTGGCAGGATTTAATAATCTTTTATAGATATTAATGTTTTACTAAGCATATAATTTGCCAGCTTTTCTTCTATTCTGTAGATCCTTTTTCATTGTTGTTTCCTTTGTTGTTATAGAAGTTTTAGTTTGATAAGATCCAATTTTTTGCTTTTATTTATTTACTTCTTTATTTTTGCTTTTATTGCTTGTACTTTCTGAGGTCTTTGAAAGGTCCTCACTAGAACACTCATGAGCACTCATACTGTTTTATTCTAGTATTTTCATAGTTTCAGATATTACATTTAGTGATCTACTTTGAGCTGATTTCATATCAGATGAGGTGTGTAGTACTTTGCCTGTAGTTACCAGTTTTCTTAGCACCATTAATTGAAGAAGTCATCCTTTCCCCGTTGCATGTTTTGACTGTGAACATGAGAGCTATGTATCAATGGCTTGGTTAATCTTTGGCTTTCTGTTCAGCTCCATTATTGTCAGTGTTCCCTTTTTTCTGGTTTCCTTGGGGTCAGAAAAGATATTTATGGGAACTTAGTTTGGAATACCAACAAAACAAATGTTTTGTATGTTTTTGTACAGATTTTTTTTTTCCTAATGTGATCTTCATATGCAATAGAGAAGAATTCTACAGGTATTGGATAGAATGTTCTATAAGTTTCTGTTAGCTCCATTTGAATTCTAAATGTACTTTAAATCCAGAGTGTCTGCTGATTTTCTGTCGTGGTATTTTTCCATTGCTGTAGGTGATTATTACCATCCCCAGGTGTCACTTGTCCACTGTCTGTCTAATACAGAGAGATTTATTAATGTTGTGGGGTGTGTACGTGTGAGTGTTACAGACTTGGTTTTGGCTCCTTTATTATTCTTTAATCTCCTAGTCTCATAGTATTGATGGGAAGTTTATTTGATTTGACATAAATATCCCACTTTCTTCTGGTCTCCATGTGGACTACATTTTTCATTTATTAATTTTCAGCCTCTGCACATCCTTGCAGGTGAAATGAGTCTCACATCGGCAGCCTCCTCGGCTCTTGTTTTTGGAAATTCCTTCAGCTACTCTGTCTTTTAATTAGATAATGTAATCCATCTGCATCCAGTAATTACTGATCCTTAAGAACTGGATGCTGCCTTGTTACTGGTTGTTTCCGTGTAGGCCTTTACTTCCTTTATTTCTCTCCTATGGTCTTCATCACTGAGAGGTATTTCTCAGTCAGTATGTTTGTTTCCATGCTTTAGATCTTAACTTTTTCATTTATAATTACCGCAATCTTATAAAGAGTGTCCTATATTTAAAACAAGTTATATTGAATTGAAGTGTGACATTTTTAAATACAAAGGCAAGAAATAAAACCCTTCTCTTAGCTCCATCTCCATTTCTCTCCTTGCTTTGAGTTTTGACGTCAAAATCCAAGCCTTTTTTTATATTTCTTATTCCTTAACGACTGATTATAATTGTTCCTTTGTTAGTGTTGTTTTTGTGTCTTCCTGCTGATAGGAGTCATGTGACTATCATGTCTGAATATTTATATTTTCTCTGATCATTGCAGGATTTAAAACTCCAGATGCCCTCCCCCCAAGATTTATTTAATTCTCTGTGTTTTGTCTCCATGTATGTCTGTACACCATGTGTATGCCTGGTGCCCTCAGATGTCAGAAAAGGACAAAACAGCCTGCCTGTCTTTAGACTCGGTAATTCTTGACTCTGATCAGTTCTGCTGTTATACTTAATTTTTCATTTACCGTTATTTTTTTACTTACATTTTTCATTTTCTGCATCTGCTTTGTGCGTTTGAAATTCTGTTTTTTCTTTAAATGATTGTTTTAAATTCTTTGTCTCTCAAACTATCCACATGCATGTCTTTAAGTTCTGTCATTGGCACCTTGCTTTGCTTTGCCATTTTTAAGGCTCTTCCTTGGCTTTCTCAGTTCCTAAATACATCTCTGGATTGATGAAATATGTGTTTGTTATCATATTCCTTGCTGTCTTTGTTTACCTGTGACTATTTCATTGTGTGGGGTTGTTTTTCTCAGCAGACCAACTTCTTACATTCTACCTCAACATTTAGGAGGTCACCCTGAACACAAGTTAGTTGTCAGTTTTGTGATAGCTCTGTGGCTGGACCCATGGACAGTCTCTAAGGAGGCATCCAGGACATGTGGGAGAGCCAGGCCCACACTCAAGTCCAGAGGCCATGAGGTCTGAGTCTCCAGCAGTACGGGGCCTATACATAGTCTGTCTGAAATGTTTGGCAGGGATGAAGGGCCACTGCATGATCTGGATATTAATTCCTATTTTCCCATTTCTTTCTATTCTTTGCTGGCTGGGGGTGGATTAGCCCCCTGGTAGTCTCCCTTTTGGACCCATGCAAGAATGAAACTCCACATAGGGAATCAGGGTGATGGGAAAGTCAAGTGTCCCCCTTTAAGTCTTTCAGCACAGCCACTGAATTCTGCACATGATGCCCTAGCAGCTTCGTGAAAGGAGATCACAGTCACACAGGACTTGGTTTTCAGAGCTCTATGAGTGCATGGTTATTCAAATTCTGGAAGGATAATGGATGAAATACAGATTCTACCATCTTCCACCATTCATCTTGGATTTATTTATTTAGATTGATTTATTTAATTTTGAGACAGACTCTCACTATATAGTCCTGGCTAGCCCAGAACTCATTGTATAGACCCAGATTGGTTTTGAATTCATGGAATCCTACCACTGATGCCTGCTGAGTGCTGGGGTTAAAGGTGTGCACCATCATCCCTGACCCAGGAATTCTGTTCTGAAGAAAAAACATTTTGATGCAAGAAATACAATATGTCTGAGTACTCAGAAAATAGCCTACCCATACAGTCTCCTCAGCTGATACTACAGTGGATTTTATTGTGTTTAAATTGAAAAATAGAAAGTCAGTATTAAGAAATCTATGAATGTTGTGGTTCTGACCCTATCTCCTACTCAAAAGGTTGTGTTAGCTTGTTTTAGTTGAAGGATTCTTGACCAGGTTTCCTTTCTTTGAGAGATCAACCCTGTGAACTATAGTAGCTCTCACCACTAGGGGGAGACTGTTGACAATAGGAAGACTTAACAGTTATTAAAAGACTTCTTTGTGCTTTTTTTCTCTTCTGTGATTCTAATAGGCTCCCCTGATTAAGAATGTCCACTATGAATTTCAAAGGTCTGCCAACCCAGCAAAGACACAGGGTTGGAGGTCTGGGTGATTCAGAGGAGCAGTCAAAAGACTAACGTAAAAGCAGAAGTGTTGAACAGGAACCCCTTTCTTTGCTGTAGTACCTCAGACCTCCAATATTTTGAGTTTGAAAATGAAAGGGCATGTTGGGGTGGCAGTGGGAGAAAGACATTAGAGCAACTAATTGGGTGGCTGTGTGGAACCCACATAGGGACTCACTTGTCCATCAGGATAGGGGCGCTGTGGCAGCTGTGTGAGGCAGGCTGTGGTTGGGAGAGGGAGGACATCCATCATAGAAGTGGCCAGGTTCTGAATACATTTTATAGATGAGTAGTAGGCATACATTACCAATATTCAGAGATCAGCTGTCTTTTTCATTCCATCCCTACAAGACAGTACTTAATGAAGCAGTCTTGAAGATAGTGAAGTGCAGAGAAATTACTACACAATGTCTCCTGGCTGCAGTGTGTGACAGGAACCAGAACTCCTGGACTCTGATACTACTGCTTTACCTGCCAGAAATCTCAGTAGAGTTTCCTGCTCTCACCAGCACAGCTGCTCGTTCCTAGAGCTGTATATATTACAGAATTTCCAACGAAAAAGTAATAGATGGTTACAAGATAGAGTTGATGGTGCATGGAACTCAGTGAGGATAAAGCCTGGAGTCTTCCTGGAACACAGAAACAAAAACAGTGAAGAGTATCTATCAAGAGAAAGGGGTAAAAGACAGTACAAGAAAGTAAAAGTGAAGCTGACTAGGAGAATGAAGGGGGCTAGCAGGAGGGTTGAGAAGAACGGGAGATACTTGTGCATGTGTGGGGAGCCCAACATGCAATAAATGTATGCGTACATGAAAATTTAAAAGTATTGAAAAACGGTACAATAATTTAAAATATTTATATTTTATCAGAGTACCAAAAAAGGAATGAATTTATATGTAACTCAGTATCCTCAGGTTGTGTGTTTGCTTTTATTCACTGAACATATATTTTAATAATTCTTTTTTTCTTAGAGAGAATGGAAGTACCAGTACTCAAAAAGAGACGTGAGGTGCTGCCATTGGAGATAGCCACCCCAGGAGAAACAGCTGCTATTGATGCTACTAGGGAAGAAGTTTCTAGATTGCCACTTCAGACAGAGGAGAAAGAATCCTGCCTTAATAGTTTAAATGTTAATGCTGGACAGTGGCAACAGCCAGCTTCTTCAACCATTCATCTAGCCAGCCTCTCTCCTTGCAAGAGCCCACCTCTAGATACACAGCCTAAGAAGAAATGTGTAAAGCTTGTGGATAGTCCAGTCAGTGCTGATGCCTTACGTGAACAAAGTGGAAACACCCCCAGATCTCCCAGGTCAGTGTGTCCTTCCACCTGACTGCCAGCAGCCTTTTCCATGTTTCCCCTCTTGCTGCCTGAACTGTGCCATGCTGCTTTATCTGTTTTCCTGGCAGTTTGAGCTGTCTTCGTTTGATTCTTTTCAGTGCGTCAGGAAGTCGAAGGTGACTTCAGGAGGAAAGGGCAGTGAGTAGCTAGTGATGCTAGACATGAAACCTAGTCCATGAAACCAAAGCCATACGGCACAGCATACCTCATGTATTCTAGGTAGAATACATGTACTGTTGTTTTCTCTCAGTTCAAGAGTCACCATGAAAGAAAAACTTAACTCCTCAAAAGGCTTTTCAGTCTAAGACATTGAGACAAATTTTTGGGTAAGAAGAGGTAAAAGGTTTTATGGTTTTTGATTTTTATACTAAGCCTTCAGAAATAGGGTTTGATGCCTGCTTGACATTTTTAAATATCAAAGCTAATTTAGTTTCATTTTTATTCCAAAACTTCAAAGCTTCCAGTTTCTGTGTAATTGAGTTTGTGACTAAATGAGAAAGTATCAGGTGGTGTATTAGCACACTAAGGGCTCTGTCCTTCAAGAAAGTAAAGCTAATGGAGATAAGAAGACTGAAGAGTGAATGGGACCTAGGCAACTTGACTGAAGGTTCTGGATCTATACAGGAGGATCAAGTGTAGGACAGTAGCTGTTGTGGAACTGACCTAGATATCAGCAACAGGCATGGGTGAAGGATGCATGCTGTATGTACACAGTGGAACTTTGTCAGCCACAGAGGCAACAGAGCTGCATTATTTGGAGGTTGATGAATGCAAATGGAGACAAACATACTAAACTAGTTGGCCAATCTCAGTGCATGTTTCTCCCATTTGTGGCTCCCAGATTTTATATGTACACAAAACATGCGTGTACATGTGACATGAAAATAGAAGCAAAGTCATCTTTGGGGACTAATGGGGGGAAGGGACAGGCATAGGAAAGATAGGCTAGAACACATGTGTCCACACACTTGTACAAAAAGTTTTAAAAAGTGATAAAAGAAAGCTAAGGAGCCCAATAGGTTTAAGGAGATGGATGAGGTCTGCATGCAGTGCAGTGATAAGCCTATTTAAAATAATACCCTACACATTTAAAATTCAGCTTGTTGGTGGGCATTTGCACCCTGAGATGAGCTCTCTGGGAACTGCTAGTGCTACATGAACTAAAGAGTGGGTGCAGAATCAGATGTTTAACTGAGACAGCAAGACACAGCACACCCCATACCAAAGGGCTTCCTAGTATGCTTCCTGTGATTTTAAGTTTTCAGTGCTACTAAATGAAGTATGCACCAAGAAACAAAAAAAAGAAAAAACCATCAACTGCTACTGTAGTATCATTCTGTTGAATTTTTAAAAATACTGTTTAAATCTATATGACACATGAAATATACACTTGATATTCTAGCATATACACCTCATCTTGTCTCAAGCAGTTCTGGAAGGGGTTCAGCTGGTGATGCCTGCTGTATGTGAAGCTTGTGTTTGACAGTGTGTCTCTAGGTGGTTTCTAGATGGCCACTGCTCCTTGCTGTCTTGTCCTCTTTTTTCTGCCCTTTGTTGCTTAAGAAACGTTACATAAAAGCATGTCGTTAATGGACTCAAATTGCATGTTGGAAATTTTTTGTCTGTTTAAAACAACACACACATACACACACAAGAGAATACCACAGAGCATTTGTTCTTAAGTGTGTAAGTAATTATTTTCAACCTCATGTATTCTCTGCATGTTTAACTTCAACACAGTTTGAGGTTAACTTTGTCACAGTAAGGATGGGCTTTGTGAGAACTCAAATACTGCACTTACATTCTTTACTTAATGAATGTGCTTCCATTGGGAATTTTTTTGTTGTGTTTTTCGAGACAGAGTTTCTCTGTGTAACCCTGGCTGTCCTGGAATTCATTCAGTTGACCAGGCTGGCCTTGAGCTTCCAGAGATCCACCTGCCTCTGCCTCCCAAGTGCTGGGATTAAAGGTGTGTGTCACATGCCTGACAAGAATTTTTATGTAAACCTCTTCTGCACTATGTTTACTATTTGCCTAATGGAAACTTAGTTTGAAGGCTTTTTTGGTGTGTTTGCTTGCTTCTGTTTTCTTGTCTGAGACAGACATCTGCTTGGGTAGCCTGGGGTTCCATGTTATTTTGTCTTGTGCTTTTTTTTTAGCATTTTGTATGTGGCCTCCACCTTAAAATATGGCTTTATTGTTCAGAATTTTGTATTCTGTGTTCTTATGATGTATATCTCCTTTTACCTAGTATTTTAACTCAGTCATTGCTTGACCTTTTATTAGATTTAAAGATTATTAAACGTTTTAAAAAATTAAGCCTACTGCTATAAAAATTCCTTTTAGGGCAGTCATTAATATTCATAATGGAGTCTACTATACATAATGGAGTCTACTATAGTTTTTGTCCTTTGTACATAAAATAGCACTCCCCCTTTTGGAGGCCCACTCTTCTAGGCATTTACTTCTTTTTCTTAAGTATACTTAAATTCAGAATATATGTTTTAATGCTTGTAGGTTAACTGCAGAATCAAGGCTTCAAACAGAAGTGAAGGAAAGCAAAGAAACTACAAGCAAATTGGAAAAAGGAGCTTGTAAGAAATCACACCCAATCATGTATGTGTCATCAAAGTCAACACCGGAGACACAGTGCCCACAGCAGTAGTGAGGCTTACTGAAGACCTCCCATGTGTGTAGGACACCCGTGTGGAGCATTTGCATAAGCCAGTGCTAAGACCTGGTGTGCTTATACTTCTCCGACCAAAAATTCAGATGTGGCTGTGATTCTGACCCAGAGGTTCTATAAGTGGTGGCCCTTTACAAACTATGAATCATAGTGAACAAACCATTCTTAGAGGAAATGTTATAATTTAAGTGTATTTGCTGCACTGGGTCTGGATTTTGAAAGTTATGTGATAAATAATGTACCTTAAGAACTAAAAATTGGACTCTAGAACACTGAACTTGTTAGTCATATTTTCCTGTGTACATTTCTATGAATAAATAAAATTTCATTTTCCCTGTCTTGTAAAAATAGTGAATATTGCTTAAAAATATATATTATTACAAAATGTTCTAAAGGCTTAAAGCACCTGTATTAATTCATATATAATTTAGATTTTCATGGCTCATACTAAATTTTGAAATTTAAAATAAAATTGCAGTAATTTCTCCCATTTGTATTTTCTTAATTCTACAGAAACAATAGGATGTTAATGGAAGAGAATGGAAAGAAAAATGAGCTTCAAGGATTCTTTATTTTTTGGAGCGGGGATGTTTTCAAAACAAGGTTTCTCTGTGTAGCTTTGGAGTCTGTCCTGGAACTCGCTTTGTAGACCAGTCTAGCCTCGAATTCTCAGAGATCCACCTGCCTCTGCCTCTGAAGTGCTGGGATTAAAGATGTGTCATCTTTAATGTGGCCACCGCCTGGCCCAGGATTTTTATTTTCTGTTAACATAATTGTACATATATTTTTACTTATCTTTTATGTAATTTTACTTATTAATAATTACAGCAAAAGATACTTGATCTTAAACTTACCAAGCATATTTTTTTTAATTTAAGTGATTATAGATTTGTTGATAACTTAATTCCATGCATAATTTTGTATAGGTAGGCGAATTAAGCCTCTTCAGAAAACTAACAGGGTATATATATATAGACAGAGAAGAGAATATTTCATCTCAGAAATTAGCTCACAGTCTGTAAGTGTAAATACACAGTGGGAATTGGCAAGCTTGAAAAGAGATAACAGACAGTTGGCCCAGGGTCCCACTTTTGATCTTTATGTTCTGTTGGCATCCCATTTTATTTAGTATTTTAATTTGTCTTCTTTAGGCCTTTTTTCAGCCTTAAAGATATTTACCATGTATTTAAAAATTTTAAGCCTTGTCAGAAATGACATCCATGTCCTCCAAGTCAGTCCCAGAGACCTAGTACCCATGTAGATTGCTCACTGGATTGGGAGGTTCACCTACAGCAGGCAGTCTGCTTTACTTTCCATCCCAAAACATGAATACTTGTCCATGTGCTTGGGCACATTGAGTAGGCATAAAATAAAGACAATGGGAACCTATCTCAAATAAGTCTATTAAAATATGACAGGTAAAGCAAATTGCCTTTTGCATCCAAACATATCAGATAATAAACTTGCTTGTTTTAATTTGCAAAAAGCATACTTTAGAATAGTCATGTTCAGTATCTCTCACAATAGTGAAGTATTTAAAGGCACTAGGGGATAAGTAACAAATTTCAACCTGAGGATAGTATTAAACTAGAGTCCATGTTTAAATGCATGTTAGAGAAATGTGCATCAGTTTCTTCCAACATTGTCTTAGCTTGGTGTCTATTGCTACAATAGAACACCATAAGCAAAAGCAACATGGGGAGGAGAGGGTTTATTTCAGCTTATAGTTCCACACTACAGTCCATCATTGACTGTTGCTGTAGGGCAGGAACTCATGCAGGGCAAGACTTGGAATCAGGAGCCAACAAGCCACGAAGGAGTGCTGTCTATTGGCTTGTTCCTCTGACGACTTCAGCCTGCTTTCTTTCAGCACTCTGGGGTGGCACCACATATAGTGAACTGGACCCTCCCATATCAATCAAGAAAGAGCACTATGGGCCAATCTGTAGGGCCATTTTCTCTACTGAGATTCCTTCTTCCCAAATGACTGACTTGTGTCAACTGGACATAAAACCAGCCAGCACACAAACATCTTATTTGAACATCTTCAAAAACAAAACAGAAGCACTCAGTCTACCATTAAGTAGTAAAGAATCGACAGTTGTAGCACCAGAATTCATTATGATTAGCTTTCATGCAAATCCTATGTGCCAGGCACTCTCTGCATTACTACATTTAACTGGACATACCTGCCAACTAGGTGTGATAGCCCCATGTTGGAGATAAAAATTGACCAAGACTGTAAAAGCTTGCTTGTCTAAGGTCTTAATTGTTAACAGTGAAAAAGATTAAACTACAATGAAATGGAGTGTATATATATATATGAAAAATATATTTATGAAAAAATATATAAAAGCCTAATGGGAACCCATTCATTTATAAGTTTTAAGTATTTAACACATCAATATATTAGTATATTTGTGATCATTATATTAATGTTAATTGATAAAGAGCAAAAGCATGTTTTATAGATTTAAAAGCTTTTAATGGAATAAGTTCTCATTAGGCTTTTATGTGCATCCTTGGTTTGGATTAATCTTCTTCATCTCCAGAGTACTGCCATCCTTGTTTAAAGATCTCCAGTCCTAATGATCATAGCCTGTACCTCTGACCTGTTTCAGCCGCCCATCCTATGTAAAGACAGTTAAAAGAGCCAAATTAATAGTGGAAAGCACAAAAGAGGGATTTAGTCAATTGTGGCCACATTGAAAAGAGACAAAAAAAATCTGGGGATCCTCTCTGTGGTGGTTTGAATGAGAATGGCCCTCATAGGCTCATAGATTTGAATACTTGGTCAACAGGGAGTGGCACAGTTTGAAAGGAGTTAAGAGGTGTGGCCGTGTTGGAAGTGTGTCACGGGGGATGAGCTTTGAGGTTCCAAAAGCCCAAGGCATGTCACATGGCTCTTCCTGTTGCCTGCAGATCCAGATGTAGTAATCTGAGCTGCTTCTCAGCACCATGTTTGCCTGCAAGCTGCCATGCTCCTTACCATGATGATAATGGTCTAAACTTCCTTAATGTTTCTACCTCACCTCCCCCAGGCTCCTGTCTAGTTTCCTCGCCTCTATAAGCACTCTAAATTAAACACCCTAAGAAGTCAAAGCTACAATCTGTATACAGGGAAAAGCATTCCATCATCTAGGTTTCCTCATTCAGGGTAGTATTGCCCCTTTTCATCCATTTTCCTGCAAACTTCACAGTTCAGGTTTTCTTTACCTCTGAGTATAGTGTTACTGTATTTATGTACCACAATTTCATCTACTGATCCATCCATCTAGAACCATTTCTTAGCAATGTGACCAGAGCGGCATGGACATGGATGTACAAGTATCTCTGTAGTGGGATATAGAATTCTTTGGGTACATATCAAGGAATGTTCTATTATTAGCTTTTTAAGAAACCCACACACTGATTTTTATAGGGCTGCACCAGTTTACAGTCCCAACAGCCAATAGGAGCTCCCCTTTCCCCATGACCTTACTGGCATCCATTGCCATTTGTTCTCTTGATAATAGATATTGTGTGAGCTGGAATCTCAGAGTTTTAATTTACATTTCCCTGGTAGCTACAGATTTTAAACACTTGTTAGAATATTTCTTGGCCATTGTATTTCTTCTGAGTACTGTTAAGTTCCTTTGACCATTTTTTTTACTGGGTTGTTTGTTTTCCTGGTGTTTAGTTTCTTGGGTTCTTTGTATATTCTGGATTATTAATTAATTAATTAATTAATATTAATCCCCCATTGAAGGCATAGCTGGCAACAATCTTACTCCATTACATAGGCTGTCACTTAAGTTAATTAATTTTCCTTTGCTGTACAGAAGCTTTTAGTTTCATGGGGTCCCTTGTACCAGTTTCTGGCCTCAGTTCTTAAACAATGAAGATCATGTTCTGAAAGTCCTTGCCTCTGCCTCAGTGTTGAAATGCACTGCCTCCCGCAACAGTTTCAGAGTTTTCGGAATTATGTTTTGGTCTGGAGTTAGGTTTTGTGCAGGGTTAGAGATAAGGATCTAGTCCTTTTCTCCTACATGTAGATATCTGATTTTCCCCGCATCATTTGTTGAAGAAATCATCTTAATATCCATTTTTAGCAGCTCTGTCCAATATTAAGTAGCTGTAGTTGCACAGACTCACATCTGGGACCTGAATTCTAGTTCATTAATTTACATGTCTGCTTTCCTGTTGTGTTTTTGCTTCTGTGGTAGTCTGAATGTAATTGTCCCCATAAGCTCATAGAGAGTGTCACTATTAGGAGGTGTGGCCTTGTTGGAGTAGGTATGGCCTCATTGGAGAAAGTGTGTCACTGTTTGGGCAGGCTTTGAGGTCTCGCATAGGATCAAGCCACACCCACTGTCTCAGTGCACTTCCTGTTGCCTTTGAATCAAGATGTAGCTCCTCTTCTTTTCCATTCTCAGCTCCTTCTCCAGTACCACGACTGCCTGCATGCTGTCATGTCCCATCATGATAATAAGGGACTAAACCTCTGAAACTGTAAGCCACTCCAATTAAAAGTTTTTCTTACGGGAGTTACTGTGGTCATGTATCTTCACAACAATAGAAACCCTAACCAGGCTTCTACGGCCTGTAATATAGCTAGAAATTGAGTATGGTCTTATCCCCAGCAGTAATCTTCTTGTTTAAGATTGCTTTGGCTATCCAGGGTCTTTTGTGTTTCCATACAAATTTTAAAATATTTACTAAATTATATTTTCATATCCTGAATTGACTTTCTTACTTCATTCAGCTGTTTGTTTTCTTCTGGAATTCACTTAGGAATTTATTCGTTATCTATGAATTCCTTGAACATATCTGTGATTATTCTTTTAATTTCTTCTAAAGTTTCATCTACATTGCTCTCATTGGGAGTTATTTTGGAATTGGTAAGAAGGAGTCTTGGTTTTCTATGTTACTTGTACTTTCGTTTGGGGGGCTTGCTCATCTTGGGGTTAGATTGTTAGTTAAGCCTTCCTCTTTCTGTCCCTCTCTGTCTCTGTCTTTCTCTGTCTCTATCTCCCTTTTCCCAAGTTGCCTTCTTTGAGTGGATGCATTGGCAGTGTTCAGGACAGACTAGGTTGTAGGCACATTTCAATGCTGGAGTCATCTGTTAGATTGCTGTTTGGGGCACCCGGCCCCGTCCCCAGCCTTGGAAGTGGAGTATTATCTGCAACAACAGGCACTATCCATTAGGAAGCCCATTATAAAAATGAAGTAGCAGCTGTTTTCAAAACAATCACTCCTTACACACCAGTTGTCTCAAGGTGTAAAGGGACCCTGTGTACTAATATATCAGTTACTGTGGAAAGAACAATGCAGAAAGCAATCACGACTGTACTAGTGATTAGTGTTGGGTTGCTAGAGAAGAAGTGGGGACATGGAGAAAAGGGTAAATGAAAGAAGCATAAATGGGGTTGATGGTGGCAAAAATGTGGGAGTTTTTATTAAATGTAGACTGAAAGGGGAAGGGGTAGAGACCTGTAGTCAGATAACAGA